ATACATAAAATAAATAGTACACGTCATGTTATATATTTTTATACGAACTCAGTCTACGTAATAACATTGGAATATAATAATATATTATATAATATATATAATACAATACACAATAATAGTAATAATATCATGTGGTAGTGTTGCAGTGCATACAATAACGTGTATAATATTATATTCGTCGAGGTATATACCTTACCTACGTACGAATCACATCAAGTGTGACTATTTAGTATTTATACCGTATCCGGATACCCTAGTTCAACCCTTATGACTGCATGGCATAAGCGAGGACACAATATATCGTGACTGTATTTTTAACAAGCGTGTAACAGGGGTGGTTTCGCTGACGTATATTGCGTGGGGGGGGGAATGACATTATCGTCGTCTATATTATAGAATGTGGTCAGCAAGTTTACGCGACTTATAAGTATTCAATACCCACACACACCCACACATACACACTGCGGTAGTGATGGTGGTGGTGGTGATGTGTTATGCAAGGGGTTTAATGTGTAGGCATATATACACGTTATAAGACATTACATAATTGAATTACGCACGCACTTATGACTTAGGTGTATTATACACGAGCGTCGAGTGCTTAAATAGGTGTCACCCCGCGGAAGGGATGTACATATATATATATAAATTCGATATAAGTAATTTACATTATTATGTATAGTACGCGTATTACGAGATATTATGTACATAAAACATAATAGTTCGATAACGTATCGTTTACACACCGACCCCCCCCCCTTCCGTCGTCCGACAACACGTCAACCGCACGCGCGTGTACCCATACATATCCACCCATAGTGGATAGGTACCTATATCTGCCCCGTCCATTATTACGTGTATATACAGCAGACGCGGAGAGTCGATGATGTGTATTACATTTAAGTCTTCACTGCCGGAAAACCTTTTGGAGTTTCGCAGCTGACGTTAATCGCACACACGCGATACAGTTTTACTTTTCATAATCGTGTGTGTGTGGGTGTGTGGGGGTATATAATATGCATAGCATGAGCATTGCGAGCGACAAACGTAAAACAAGTTGACTACGATTAGCAGTTGTCAGGTGGCGACGGCGGAGAAAGACTCCTAAAGAATACAATATAATAATAATAATAATAATAATAATAATAATACAATATATTATGCTATTTCATGTTATTATAAAACGCAATAACGTTCAAGTTGACACGGCGCGAGCACACAACGACGTCGACGGCGATATAATAATATGCTTCACAAACGGCGTGTGATTGTTACCTACTCTATACACCGGAAGCGGAACGAGACAGTGGAAAGATCCACGAGAAGGGAGTCTTATACGCGTCTTTTACCAAGTTTGATACACCGGGCAGAGTGATGCAACGCAGACGAAACGAAGCTAAGTGTCAATTTTTTTGTTATTAAAATTATAGTTAGGGTAATATTATTACGTAAAACAATGTCTCCCATCGCCGGTAAAAAATAAATAATATAATTATATAATATTTTATTCCGTGGTATATAATTATATTTAATACGAATGGGTTTTTCGTAGGTTATCTATGGGTTTCCAAAGTTATTGCACTGATAATCTATACAATTTATTCAAAATTGCTGAAAAAAGTTTCCAAAATCGCACTAAAAACTTCAAAAAATTCCGAAACGAAAACAACGAACATATTACGAAACTGGAGTGATTTGGTTTGGTTTTTTTAAAACTAAATTCGACTTTTTTACTCGAACCGAACACTTAAAGTTAGGTTTCATTTTTCGAACTTCGAACAGTTTGACAAAACTTTATTAATAACACCACATAAAACTGAAGTAAACATGCAGAAAGTACAAGAAAATTAATGTAAGTTCAAAAATATACCTAAATCGAGATAGTTGCATTAAAAACGAAACCATAAATTAACTCGTATTTGCTTAAAATTTAAAATGGGTTTATTTGATTGTAGGTAGGTAGCTTATTTAGCCATAAATTATTTACACACAATAAATAAAAATACATACAAATACAACAATTTCTGAGCCCTATTTATATGTTTATAATTTATAATACAGTACAATGGCCGGGAAGCCAAAAGTTATACGTCCATTTTTTTTCGAAGTTATTTATGAGTTCATTTGATAAATCAGGGTCAATTTTATAATTTTGACAAATATTGTTACTCTAAAACCGAAATACCTATATAAAAAACAAATTAATGAATTGTAGCCTACTCTGACACGGCTTTTTTTGTGCATAAATGTCCGTAATAAAAATAAGACACACAATGTATGTACATGTTTAAAAATATTTATCTCAGAGTGAACAATGAACATAAAGCTCACTGCCTATTATAACATGTCTGGATTTGTTATTTTTTAAAAAGCGAAATAACACATTTTGGACTCTATAGTAGATAGTCTGGTTTGGTGACAGAATAAATTTTTAATATTTCAAATTTTCTTAATATTATTAATTTACCGACGATGAGGTTATTAGGTTATTAGATTATTAGTTAATTGTGTACAGTATTTGTTGTATAATCAAATAGTTCCAGGAATCGGAGAAATAAAATATTAAACACAACTTTATGACAACTTTATCTATAATACCATGGAATTATAAAAACGTTAAACGTACATCATAGATGTCGTAGATCTTCTGTAAACTAGCAGTACATATAATATTATTGTGTTAGACGATTATGACTACTGACTGGTACTTTCGGATCTTACAGCCATGTATATTTTACATTATATTGTAACCTAACGTTTGTCTATATATTATCATCTTCATTCTCTTGAGAACACAATATTGACACATTGTAAGACAACGGGTATTAAAATATAACAAGTTTGATCAAAACAATTTGTGATGGACAACAGTTTAACAGTTAAACAGTGGTCAGTAGAGTATCCGGGGAGGGGGGGGGTATGAGACCAAATTGTTTTCACAACACAACATACATATATGTAATATGAGTACAATATATGTCTATTAAAACATATTTTATATCCCCCAACCCCCTTGAAAAAATCCTAGATACGCAACTGAACGTACATAATATTATAATATAATAATATTATGTGCGTACTGTCGACTTCGAGGCCGATTTTATGGATTTTTCTCGACTACTCCTCGCCAGCTTTATGACGAGCACCTCCCGTCACAACCAATTGATTTTAATACACTATATACACATTAGTGGATTTATATTTTATATGCTTTTAAAGCTCTTGAATTAAGCACCAAAAGGCTAAAAATCAATATACTTGGTGTGAATAACGCATTTTTAATGTCGGATTCGTGTTTAAGATAATAATAATAATTGCACGCAGCACTTGTATTTTCTCTGTTGATCGTCGGGGCTTGGGGGTTTGTTTTGTATTGTATTGATTTTCTGACATTTTCTGCATCCATGATTTTAGTTTTATTATTATTAAGTTTAGTTTATATTATTATATTTTCTAGAGCTGTTTTCATAACTTTTTCATTGCAAATTATTAAAACACCAAGTATTCAAAATTACATGTCAAACAAAGACAAAAACGTATGATACTGAAAAAATATGACATTAAAAGTGACTCTAAAATTAATTTCCATTTATAACTAGGTATAAAACATTGTGCAAAGCTCTATAGGCACCCAACAAAACTAAAAATCAATAATGTGAAAATTAATCAAATTCAGTGTCATAATATCAATCATAAGTCGTGTAGTGTGTACGGAACAGTGCGGAAAACAGTGTTTTTTTAAAACTGCCTTTCTGTCACTCACTCCTGTCTGTAAAACATGTATAATAGTAATAACTAATAATAATATACTTACATTTAGTGATGTGGGGGCATTTTTAAATTATAAAAAACATCAAATATTTAAATAATATTGTAATTTTTTAAACATTTTATTACAATTTATAGTATGAATGTAAAATTATCTTTTGATATTGCAGTGATAGTGAGGTTTCATTTTATCAAACAAAGAAATTTGAGATTATGTGAAAAAATATTTCAGCTGATAATACACCCCTTATTTTTTCCGATTGTTACTATCGCAGTAGTCTACAACAATCCCCAAATCATTCAAAACTATTAGTATAAAGTTCAACTTTGTTTTACCATTCTTATTGTATATAAAGTACAATTGTTTAGGCAAAAACATGATGTCCTATGTACACTACACTGTTATAATCTATAATGGTCATATCAAATGGCACTTTGTACCCAAACCCGGATTAAAAGGGGGCCTCTGTGGGGAATGATTCGGGGTCATATAAATTTCATGAGGCCGATCCTTTTTCACATTTTTTTTTTAACAAGAATTCAAAATAAATTTCAAAAAAATGAAATAAAATAAAAAATATTTGTTTCTATCACGGAAAATTAATGGGATTCATTAATTTGGATTTTAATTTTGCTTATAATATCATAAGCTTTGTAAATTAGTGAAATTGGGAATTGCGATCAATAATAGCCACATGTTTTGATTGTGAACAGTTTTCCTTTGTTATTTCGGTTTTTGAATATATTAATTGTAATTACTATAGTAATATTATTAACTGCATTCTTATTTTGCTATAGTCTCATATTAATTATTTTATTTACAAACGGTAGAAAACTATGTATAGTCATAAAATTTGGCACTTAAATTTGTTTTTAGAAGTTATATGAGAATTGTTCAAGTTTGAAACTTAAGGGGGGCCCCTGCGTTAACTCCCGTTAATCCGGGATTG